TGTGGTAATGGATATTAACTAAACTTATCATGATGATCTATCAAATATACACCTATCAAATCATTATGTTGTACATCTAAAATTAACACAGCATTAAATGTTATTTATATTTCCATTAAAAAGAAATATTACTACAGACATTATTTAGAGATGCTGTAATTTTTTAAATCTAATTCAACAATTATCACTAATGAAAGGTATTCATTCATTCATTCACTCACTCAACAAATTATACTATATCTGCAGAATACAAGCTAGTTTCAGTGGGTTAGGAAAGAAGGGAGTGACATTTAATCCAAGTTCTAAGGGATAAATAGAAATTCAGTAGCTAGGGGGAGACTTCTGGTCTAGGTCCAGGAACTTACACAGTCAAAGGTCCTGAAGTAAAAACACGGTAAAGTCTGCAAGTTTGAATTTCATCCTGAGGAAAAGGAGGGCCAGGGTCTAAAACTGGCAAGTGAGAGATTATGCTGGCATTTCCCTGGTGACTCAGAGAATAAAGAATCCGCTTGCAATGCAGGAGTCCCAGGTTTGATCCCTTGGTCGGGAAGATTCCCTGGAGAATGGATTGGCTACCCACTCCAATACTCTTGCCTGGAGAATTCCATGGACAGAGGAGCCTGGCAGGCTGCAGTCCATGAGGTCACAGAGAGTCCACTTCACAAAGACACAACTGAGCAACTAACACTTTCCCTAGAAAAAAAATAATCACTCTGGTTCCTGTGTAGAAAATAGAAGCTGGCAAGAGATTAAAGACTGCAGCTAACCTTGGAAAAGAGATGATGATAACATGCACAAGAGTAGTAGAGAAGCTAGAGAGAAGTGAGCCAATGCAGGCCTTCAGGTGGTAGAATAAGCAGAACATGGTGGTGAATGGGATGTGGGGTCAAGAAGAATGTAAATCAGAGATGATGACACCATGGCACCCGGGACTGCTAAGTGGTTGGTGAGATTATTTACTAATGTTCAAAAACACAGAGTAAAGCAGGTTTGGGGGAAGATAATGCACTCAGGTATAGATACACAAGATCTGAGAGGTGCCCATGAGATGTGGGTCTGGTGCTCAGGAGAAAGGAAGAGGCCTGAGATGGAGTCCTGAGAAAAATTAACACAGAGATGTCAATTGAAGCCATGGGAGTAGCGGGGATCAGTCCATGAGCAAACATAAAGTGAGATAAGAAAGGCTCAAGCCTGCAGAACACTGTAGAAATCCAAAGTTAAACATGATCAAATAATTTTAACCTTTATACAGTATTCCCTTTTTGTTCACAATTAGACATGAAGCCAACTTCTCTACAGGGCACCCAGTGCATATCCTAGCAGCCTGAAGCCCAGTCTGGCTTTCTTCATTATCATCATTTTGGGTTTGACAACTCATTAAATCACCCTGCTAAGTGCTCACTAATGTGGGATTCAACAAAACTGAATCAAATCATTCTACAACTAAACATCAAATGCAAACTCAAAAATATAATTCACATTTTTAAAGAGCTCTATAATTACCAACATAAAATAGAGCCTCTTCCTGCTAATATAGTACTTTTAAAAAGTAGATAAACTGCAGCTTGATGTGGTGCCTAGCTGCTTATTTTGCTCAGCACTTAATTCAATTAGAAATGTACATATTGTGAATCAAATTAAATCCATCAGAGATGAAGTAATAATTGGTGAACCTGTCTGAAACTGGTTTATTTGCTATCAATATTACAAATTTTGAGAATTTTTGTAAGAAAACTTAGCCTGCTCCTCCTCTTTGACTCATAACAATCAGTGATATTCTGATTATGCCAATATAGATATAAAACTGGATCCCATATATAAGCCACAACCCATCTATTACAATATCTGACACCCCATAACAGAGTCTACACAGCAGAATATAAACATTTCTGTGCATAGCAGTAAATCTGTACATATGTGTATACTACGTATGAAACACATACTAACAGTTTTAGTATATATTCTCCACTCACAAAACAAAGAGATTACCTCTGAAAAACAGAAGTAGGAATGGGGGAAGAACACTGGAGGAAGACTTTTTACTCTGTATTAATCTATAATATGCTAACTTTTATAATGCAAATGCATCCTGGTTTCACTTATGTTTAAAAATGAGGTGTGAAAACTGATGCCACTGATATCTTTCTTATGGACTCAGGGGACATTACACCCAGTAACATCTCAGCCTCCTGTGGACAACTCACTGACGCAATGGCCCCACACATCAAATGCTAAGCTGGTGAACAAAAGTTATGTCCCCCTCGGGTAAACGTATTATAGATTTTATGTTATGAATTCACATCTTCTCTATCAATTTCCATTCCAAGTGCTCTTGTTCATTACAGTTCATAGTGCAGTTTGTCAGTTTAATTTTGTGCTCCTTTGTAGGTATCCACAATAATTACAGTGTTTAATGCTGTACCTTAAGGGTGAGTTTAACAGAGCAGTTTAAATGCATATGTTCCAGCCATCCTCTGACTCCCACGCCAGCTTTGGGCACACACTCCATCCCCCACTCCTCACACACACAAACATATGCACTAACTGTGTTGTAGATGGTATCTTTCATCTTACTCGCTATTTTCCCATTACCTTCTACAGTATCTGACGATGACATTATTATTAATGCTACAGTAAACAGCTAATATATGTGGTAAAAATACACGCACTATAATGAATCAAAATGACAAACTTACCCACCAGACTTCCTCTACTCATTCTAATCAGATAATGGGTTTTGCTTTTTTGTTTCTTGAGTCTACTATAAAAGGAGGGAGTAGCACTGGGGAAAACATTCATAAAAACAAGGGAAAATAAAAGTAAATGTTCAGGTCATTGAGAACAGAAAGGAAGCTTATCAAGAAAATCTGTATCAGGTAACATGATAATTCATTTGTTCTATATGGAGTCTTCTTAACTTGAAATTCCCTGAAACATGGAGCTCAGTTTCACATGAATAAAATATCTAAACCATCACCATGGACAGTCTTTCTACAATTTATCTTGCAGAAAAGGGGTGGGTTTGTTTTCATATTTTGCTTTTTGTTGCTATTATTGCTGATGATCTTATACAACTCTAGCATCTTTAAAATTCTGATAGAATTTTTGGTTTACAAAATGAGGTATAGCACATTCAATTGATTTTCATGTTCCTTATTTTTATTAGGAAAATGTTATTTCTAACCTATTTCTTGTATTTTTTTTTGTTTGCATTCCTTGGGGATGTACTCATAAGGATGTACATCCTTATTAAAAATAAAATAAAGGTCAGGGATAAAAAGGAGATTACAATAGAAAATGGAAAGCTACAGCTAATCAGAATGTTAGAGCAAGAATGAAATTCAGGGTTAGAAGAGACATTAAGAGTTTGGATTCTGACTACCTGGGTTCATTTAACAAACTGCAGAGCCTACCAACTATAGAATGTTTGGCAGACTGCTTGCTATTCTACACCTCAGTTTCCTTAATAGTAAAATAAGCATAATAATAACAGTTAGTCCTTTGAAGATTCTTGTTAAGAATAAATAGAATACAATAGGGCATGGCATAGAGTAGATGTCTAATACATATGAGCTCTTATTAGTAGTACAAAACAGGAAACTAAGGCCCAGAGAGATTAAGTGTTTCCTCTGAGATAATTTAATTGGACTGATGGCAGAATATTATTAAAATGGGTCCTCTAATTTTTTTATGTTTCAGTTTCTTTTCCATTTAGAACACTCTATTTATAGTCTGGAGAAATTACTTTCAAAGGAAAAAGTGATATAGCAAAAATCCTTCAGATAAGCACAGTCTAGATTTAAAAGAAGGAAAAGAGGAATTTTCACATGTGTGTGTGTACATGTGTGCATGTACACACACACATCAAAATAAGAAGCAAAATGTATGGATGGAAGGTGGGTGACAAGTGACACAAACACAAAACCTCCAATTAAGACTTTTTATTATGACACAATTCATTAGAGCATAATTAAATTTCTTATTAAATGATTAATCATAAGGTTAGAAGAAAAGGTCGTGTTGAATGTTAATTATACATCTTTTAAAGAATTTCAAAGATGTGAACAGCAGTACTCTCACAGACTGTCAGTTGTTGCAAATTAAAGGCACTAGGCATTATTTTTAAAAATACAAACTACATAAATCCTTTTACTAATCAATATAATGTGGAAGAATCTGTCCTACAATTAATTTGCACAAGTGTGCAAAAATGTGCACAAAAGGACGTTTATTGGTGTACTACTGGCAATACCAAATATTGGGGAAAAAATCATACATTCATTAGTGGGGAAATTATGATTGTGGCACATTCATGTAATAGAGTAAACAAAATGACAACAAAAGTTGCTCTAGATGGATTATTAAATGAAAAGACAAATCAAAGTATACAAGAATCTGTGCCAGAATAACCTGTATCTGCTTTTTAAAACAAAAGATAAAGATACATGAATGTGTTTGCACAAAAAATGCTTCAAAGTTACACAAGAAACTTAACAGCAGTTAGCTCTGGTAAATGGGATTAAGGTCAAGAAGACAAGAAGATGGATAGGAGTGAACACTTAACTTTTCTTCAGTGACATATGAGCTTCCCAGGCGGCTCAGCTGGCAAAGCACCTTCCTGCCAGTGCAGGAGATGCAAGAGACGCAGGTTTGATCCCTGCATCGGAAAGATCCAGGGAAGATCCCTGGGTTGGGAGAAAGACATGGCAACCTGCTCCAGTACTCTTGCCTGGAAAATTCCATGGACAGAGGAGCCTGGTGGGCTACAATTCACGAGGTCACAAAGAGTCAGACACATATATACACACATATACATGTATATATTTATATACTATGTAGAGTTTATATATTATATATATAATTTTTTCATATATGTATATGATTTTTAAGTTGAAAGAAAACAATGTTACAAGAAATAAAAGATTATGAAGAAACAGTTCAACAGGCATAACGGAGAACAAATTTAAGAGTAGAGAACTTATGTATAGCAGAATTCTTACCTGACACTTAGCACTACAGTATTTGGCGATTCGGCATTGAGAGCATCGCATCAGCTTTTCCTTCCTGTTAAAGAATAAAAATAAAGTTAAAAAATAAAGTTCACATTAGGAAATGAATGAGAATCATATATGGCTGAAGAAAGAAAGAAAATGTAAGTCATCATGCTAACACCAAGATGTTCCACTCACTCCATCTGTATAGTCCATGAGACTTAGATTTTCACAGTGATGAACTTCTTTCAGTGCGAGACTAGTGACTTTTTAAAAAAACTAGTGTTCTTTTTTAAAAATTGTGGTAAAATATATGTAACATAAAATGTGCCACTTTAACTATTTTTAAGTGCATAGTTTTAGTGGCATTAAGAACATTCACATTGTTGTGTAACAATCTCCACCACTAAAGTTCTTTTTAACATAAATTTAATGAAAATACAGAGATTCCCACGTAGGCAAAAAAATCACTTTAAGAGAGTTTTTAATCTCTGCATACAAAATTCAGAATCCAGTCTATCAACTAACTCAAAGTATCCTATGCCTTTCAAATATAAAAACTGCCCAAGTTTAAATTTGTCATGTAGGTTAATTGTAATATACTCTTTCTAGGAAATGATTTTTAATTTCCATTAAATTCAATTACTACTTTAAACATGCTAAATTGAGACACACCAAAGTTATGTCCCCCTAGGTCGCCTGAGGAATAAAAAAGTCAAAACAAAGAAATACTTTATTATAAAATGAAACAATAAATTTGATGATGAGACTCATAGTGACAAATAATAGACAGGACTCTGCATGCATGCTAAGTCACTTCAGTCATGTCTGACTCTTCACAGCCCTATGGACTGTAGCCTGCCAAGCTTCTCTGCCCATGGGATTCTTCAGGCAAGAATACTGGGATGGGTTGCCATTTCCTTCTCCAGAGGATCTTCCCAACCCAGGATCAAACCCCTGCCTCCTGCAGCTCCTGCACTGACAGCAGATTCTTTACCACTAAGCCACCAGGGAAGCCCACATTATAAAATAAAAACAATAAATCTGATGATGCAATTCACAGTGATAAATAACAGACAGGACTACAGATACTTTCAAGGTGGCCAAGAGCATTAAAAGTCAAACTATAATACTAATATCAGTAATGAAATAAGAAGAAATCTTTCTAAGCACTTCTAATGTGCCAGGTATGGTTCAAACTTCTTTATATCTATTGACTCACTTCAGACAATTCTGTAAGTAAACAGTTTTATTATGCTCATTTAAGAGATACTTCAGTACATTTTCAAGAGATAAGAAGTAGATGACTAAAAAAAAAAAGAAAAAAAAAAGAAGTAGATGACTAAGGAAACGCACCATATAAAGTGCAATGCAGTAGGTGACACTGAAAGGGTAAGAACAAAAACCACAGAGAATCCAAAACATGAATATATCAGGTACCTCACTCACAGGAGAACAGAGTGAGATAGGAGCATATAACACCGGGAGAGGTTAATGGTCTAAATAAAGCAAAGTCAAAACACCTCCTTCCCCCAAGTGTAGATTTACAGCTGTCAGATATCAACATCCCAAACAACAACCCAAATCCAAACAATACGGCCTTAAAGTCCTTGTTTTTAATGACCATACTCCACTACCACTACTAGACAAAACTGGATCAAAGCAAAATCCACCCATGGGCAATTGATGAGACATGCTTCAAATAAAAGAACACACAAATTTGGGATGAGAAGAATATGATGGGCAAATAGTAACTTTAATATTAAAATTTAATTAATACTAATAGAAAAAAGCCTATGTCACTATATCAGTATCAGAAAAAAAAAAGATGTTAAGGCTAAAAATATTACTAGAGATGAATAAGTCAATACACAAAGATTAAGAGATTCCAACCACCAGGTAATAGTACCCAGCAAAAAGTGTACCCAGTCTAAAAATATGTAAAGTAAAAGTATTAGATCTAAGATAAAAATGAGGAATACATAATAAATTAGTACAAGTAAAGCCTTTAAAATAATACCTGGAATATACTAAGTACCATACCAGTATATCACCATAACAGTTATCACTATAACAAGTCTTTTTCAGGAAGTCATAGATCAAGCAGATAAAGAAGGAGGAGCTCTACAATTTATTTGATTTCATGTAACACACAGACCCTTGCTCCTTTTATATGCATGTGTATTCACACACTCTCCTCAGGCACTCACTGGCCTTTTACAACATATGCCCACATACTAGGCCACAGAGCAAATCTCAAAAATTACAAAGAATCAATAATATATATATGTATATATATATATAACTTTCTCCAACAATAAAAGAATTAAGATTATAAATCAGCATCAAAAATCAAGCCAGTAAAATGTCATATCTATGGAAATTTAAAAGCTTACCTCTGTATAATTCAACAATCAAAGAAGAATTGTCATGAAAACTAGAAAATAGATTATATAATTTAAAAAAAAACTCAAAATGTAATCTAAAGCAATACTAAAAGGAACATTTATAGCTTTAAACGCTTACATTGATTGCAGTGGTATAACTTTTTAATCTCTTTAACACTCCTCATTAAAAAAAAAAAAAAAGAGTAAGTAGGAAATAGGAAAAGCTAACCATCACTCCCCAACCTGGAAAGGTACAACAAAACCAAAAATATTATCAGAAAAAAAACACTACAGGCTTCAAGAATTGATTAAATCAGTATATTTGTGGGAGAAAACAAAGGCAACTTCCAACAGACTTGAAAACAGAAGAAGTTCCAAACTGCCAAAAGATATCCAGCAGAAAGTCTGTCAAGCCAATTGGAGAACTGCCACCAAAATTGGGAGAGAATGCTTTCTGCAAGAACACTCCTAAGGACAAGGTCCCTGGGGCGCTTCTGAATCCTGCGTTTCCTTAGACCTGGCTCCTCAGATTTTTCCTCGTTTCCTTTTTTCTTGTCTAAGTTGTTCAGAGGTTATTTCTGCTGCCTGCAAATAAAGATCCCCAACTATATAAAATGTTTCATCTCAATTTTTAAAAATAACAAGCAGAATCAAAACACCCAGGAAGGTCAGTGGTGAACCTGGTAGCAGGTATTAAAGTCTCACCTCCCCTCTCCATAGCTTTCAACCACAGACTTTTATGAATTTTAGCACAGACAAAATGAATAGCAGGATGATTCAAAGTACTTGGATAATTTAGTTGCCATTTGATGCATAAAGAAAAATTCTTTAATATGAGTTATTTAAATGTTTTGGGTTATTTTTACACATCATATAACTATATAAATAAACTTAACTTCTCAAGTTTCAAAAAAAATAAAAAACAAAAACAAACAGTCAACTGAATCCAAGAGAAAAGTTGTGTCTTTGATTAGAGGACCCACTGAGCCTTTGAAGAGTTACTGTTTTTCTCTGTTGGGTAAGGTTCAGAGTAATAGCATACTAGTAAGGTTTCCCTACAGAGAAAAAAGCTGGGCAGCAGAGGGAGAGAAAAATAAGTGTTAGAAACACAGCCACCAGACAGCTTAAGAAAACATTCTCTCTCTCTTAAAAATCAACATATCATTTCTAATTGAAAAATTCATATTTTTCTTTAAAAAATCAGAAATGTACAGGTCAAATAAAAAGCAGAATTAATTAGAAGCCCCTGAATAAAAAGGATCACCTATTCTAGGCAGTTCCAGAGGCTAAAACAAGAAATACTGAATGGAAGGTAGAGACAGGCAGATTTTGTCTAAAGGTAAAGATCTTTGTGGCAACAGCTCAAAATTCAAAAGAAATGCCCCCAAAACAGTGGAGTTCTCAGTCTTCTGACATGTTCAAGGAGAATCTGGTACATACATTTACAGACATGATGTAAAGGAAATTCTAGCACTGCAAAGGAACATGAGTTAAGTTTCCTTCTAATTTCAAATTAATTGGTTTTCCTCCTCTTGTATAAGCAACAAATATAAACTAAATTTGAAGACAAAATTTGGGCATATTATAAGGCCAAATATGATAATCTCAGAGGAGTACAAAAGTGAGGGAAACATCCTGTTTGCAAACTGATTATCTCAAGAGTGCATCTAGAACTAGAATTTCTGAATAAAAAAGAATCTAAAGAAACAGGTTAGGAATGTATCAGTAACAGCAAACTGATTAATTTTTATCTATTCTTCCCCTCAAGAGACAAATAGTAGTATGCTACCTCTAAACTAGAGAAGATATTTTATTGTATACTAAAATAAATGGAAGTTTTAGATCCCACTGCATAAAAGCAAAAAGGGATCCCTTATCACTTGTTCATATAAACTCAGATATGTTATTAAACACAAAGTCAACTCAGAGAAACTTCTCAGCTTGCTCAGTGCCCCAGAGAAAGTGATTCATGGAGCATAAGTGAAGTCTTCTCTTCCAAGTAAAAGTTGGCTCATAATTAGTTTCTCCAATAGCCTATGTAACTGAAGTATGGAAAAGAAATAAAAGTCCGGCAAAATTAATTGTTCTTCTAGTATACAAGTTAAAAATTTATACTGTTGACTCCTAAACAATGCAGGGTTTAGGGGTGTTGACCCTACGTGCAGGCGAAAATCTGTTTGTAAGTTAATAGTGTGGCCCATGTATCCAAGGTTCTGTATCAACAGATTCAACCAAACTCAGACCATGTAACACTGTAGAGTGTATTTAGTGAAGAAAAAAAAAAAACAAAAAAAAAAAAACCTCTGCATATTTCAGATAATAAACAGTTTAAACCTGTGTTATTCAAGGGTCAACAAGGGTCAGCTGTATGTGGATATAGAGGAAACCGGTGTCTCTAAGAAATGAAACAAATAAATTGGAAGACTGAGATTGACCTATATACACTACTATATAAAAAATAGATAACTAATAAGGATCTGAATTAAATTCACCCACTCTCGTCCATTTTAGTTCACTGATTCCTCATATGTCGATGTTTACTTTTGCCATCTCCTGTGTGACCATGTCCAATTTACCTTGATTCATGGACCTAACATTCCAGGTTCCTATGCAATACTGTTTGTTATAGCGTAGGATTTTACTTTCATCACCAGACACATCCACAACTGAGTGTCATTTCTGCTTT